ATAAAGTTATGAATAAAAATCTAAGTGAAACATTAGAGGCAAGAGCAGAAATTGTATAATATATCTTTCCTGAGGAATAATTACTGTGGAATAATTTTTTCTCACTATTTTCATGGATGCCTAGAATGATATATGTAATTTATTTTTGTTATTTTATAGAATGTGGCTTAATACAAACTTAAAGGTACACCCCTCCCCCTGAATGTCAACGCTTTCATCCCAAGATTCTGAAGCTTAATATTAAACATGAAGAATATGTCTATGAAAGAAATGCAGAGTCTCTTCTTCTTTTTTTTTTTTTTTTTCTGCCCCCTCCTTGGCTTAGGCGTCCATACAACAGGAATCAGAAAGAAAATTAGCCAGTTCTGGTGAGGAAAGCACTGATGGAGTGTACCCTGGATGATGGCGTTTCTGTTTTATGGCCCTATTTGCTATTTGTCCCATTTCCCAGCCACTTACAGACTGCTAACTAATTGCAGAGGATCAAAAGCTCCTCCCCACCACCACCACAGGAACCCCTAAAGTATAAGTACTTCTGAAAGTCATAGGCAAAGAGATCATTTAACAAGAAGGAAGGTGAGTGTTCAGTCTCTTAACCCTAATTTCTACCCAATTTCTACTAGTCAGTTCAGTTCTCAAAACTTCTCTCTTCATAGGCAGTGGATAGGCACAGAGCAACACTACACGTACACACAAACACTAGGTGTGGATACAGAACACATGCATCCATGCTTAAGAGCAACCCTGCCCTTGGAAAAACGCACATTATTCTGAGATACAAATACCACCTTTGCTTTTGTATAATTATCTCAGAGGGAAGCATCTATGTGTATCAAAGGGTGAAATGTGGTCTAGGCTAATTAAGTTTGTTTTCCTTTTATCAGTCAGACATTTAGAACAGTATTTCCAACATATGTTTATCATGTTTTTATGAAAGAATTTTTCTTCATACGCTTCTATGTTAAAAGTGCTGTGGGTACCTAAAGTAAGGATTTAGTAGTCAATAGCTCTCAATTTTTTTTCCACTGGTAGTTACAGACCTATGTCAGATTATTTCTGGCAGAGATGTTTTCCTTTAATTTTTAGAAGAGAGAAAAGGTGCGAGGAGTATTGAACTTTTTTATTCAAATGACCTGAGATATGTGCCTTTAAACTTCCCACTACAGGGCATAGATTTTCTGTGAACCGTCTGTAAACCTATCAGTTAAAAGGCTGCATAGTTTTATTGCATGTCACCTCCAGCTTTTGATTAGCAAATTGCAGGCCAAGCTAAAACACTTAAGCGGTGCTGCTGCTTGTCTCATTTTAGAGGACTAGATCATTACAGTTTAGTAATTTAGATAAATCTTTCCAGTCTATCCTTCTTCCTTCTGTGGAAATCTGTTGCCCAGAGAAGGCACAAAGGGCCAAATCACATACTACATTTTCCTTATAAGAAAATGCCAAAGAAATTTGCATTGATGGAATTTATGAGGGGTTTATTGCATTCGCTATCTTCAATTATCTTGTTTATTTACTCATTTATGGGTTGTCTCCAACTCTAAAATGAAAGTTCCATGAGACCACAGACTTTGTTTTGAACACTAGTATATCTCCAGATCATTGCTCAAAGCACAAAAAATATTTATTGAATGGACGAATTCATTCTTTCATCCATTTCTCTAATATTACAGATAATAAAAATAATAATTCCTTCCCTTTGAGAGATTCACAGGTTTTTACAGGAGGTACAAACAGTGAACTACTACAATACAAATGCCATGTGCCTAGGGGTGGGGAGCAAACATTAGATATTACCTTTAAAATATTAATTAGATATTACCTTTAAAATATAAATTAGATATTAGCTTTATATATCATATATATGATATGATATGAACACAGACATATTCACTATCTTACCTCCTCCTCCACTGATTAGTTATTTATTCAACAAATATTCACTGAGTGCTTGGGCAGTGCTGCCATCCCTATAATTGAAACTACACCAGGGAATGAAGCTGAAAGTCCCAGGGCAGAGGCAGCTTAGAGTCAAAGGCAAGCTGGGGTAGAGTCAGGGCTGCTGAGCAACTGAGAAGTTCTCCACAATCCATCTACTCATTGGTTTAGGCAGGTAGCTGGTATTGGGATATTTGAAGTCAAGAGGGCAAAGTTCAATAAGTTCTATAAGTTCTGAGTGTTTGTATCAAGTGGAAAGCCCATGGTGTCTGAAGCCATTCAGGGATGTCCATGAAGTCTGGAAGGGTGATTAGGAGAAAATCATCCTTCTTCCCTTGTAGTTTACCAGTTTAGGGCTTTCACTTTTCAGGGTTGGAATCAGACTTGGCCCAGAGCCTTGACATTAGAATGTCTTCAAATGTTTTCACTGCAGCCACCCCTGGCTTAAGAACTATGGGACCAGGAACACAGGGCTGGAGGTCCTTTAAATGATGAACCACCTGGTGTCAGGACAAGTCATCTCTTTTAATTTATTGTGTGAAAATTTATTTTAGCACACACTGTAGTCTGTATGTTTATGTCCCACCAAAATCCACATGTTGAAACCTAACTCCCAAGGTGATGATATTAGGAAGTGATTACAATATGAGGGTGGAGCCCTCATGAATGGGATTAGTGCCCTTATAAAAGAGGCCTGAGGGAGCTTGTTTGTCCCTTCCACGATGTGAGGACACATAGAAGGTGCCATCCATGAGAAATGGGCCAATGTGATCTTGGACTTCCACCTTCCAGAACTGTGAGCAATAAATTTCTGTTGTTTATAAATTACCCAGATATTTTATTATAGTGGCTCAAATGCACTAAGATAGCACACAAATTAAATTGCAACTTTATTTAGACTCCAAATAATGAATCAATGCATGGTTGAAACAGTTTTGCTGTTTAGCAGCTAATAACAATAATATTAGCTAATATTTATTGAATGATGATTACATGCCAGGGCTCCATTCTGGACATTTTTCCATTGACTAATATATTTAATATTCATAAACACCCTATGAGGTGGCTACTGTTACTATCCCATATTACAGATGAGGAAACAGGCACAGAGAGGTTGAGTAATTTGCCCTCAAGAAACTCAACTCAAATGGTAGGAGGATACAGACCCAGACAGCCTGGCTCCAGAGCCAGCAAACCTAAACACTGATAGTTGCAACTATTTTTTGAAGGCAGCTACATGCCAGGGGCTTTATATTCACTTTTATCTCTAAGGCTGTTTCTTATAGCAGCACTACAAGGTAGGTACTATTTTCTTCATTCTGCCGGCAAGGACAATTATGATGGCCCAACGAGTCCTGAAATCGGGGTATGAATCCTGGCTGTCTGTCTGTCTGACTGTCTCAAAGGCCTTTGTTCCATCAATTGCCAGAGCTTCCTCTATGTCCTTCCTTTCCATGGATCTTGCTACTGTCTTACCTGATCCTTGCATTATTTTGTTTTCCTTGGTCCAAAACCCCAAGTTCTAACTGAGCATTCGTTAGGAGTTTCTATAATACTTTCTGAGAATTATAATCTTTCACATTCATATGCCACTATATATCTTTCCAATGTTTACTTACATGCCCTCGTTTGTTCATCACAATAACCCTGAGCTATAAAAGGTGGGCATTATTATCTGTCATTTCTGAAATGAGTAAACCTTACAACAGAGAGGGTGAATAATGGGCCCCAGGGGCTTGCACCTGGTCCTGCTCTACTTTCATTTACTTGCTTTTGTTTCTACTTTGTGCAAACAGCCTGAAGGAAAGTTTGATAGGTGGGAGAATCAGACCAAAAAAAGAAAATCTGGCACCCATCTCAGAGAGGCCATATGGATTTCTGCAATAGCTTCCTTACCTGCAATAAAGATATCTGAAAAGAGATCAGTGGGTCCCAGTTAAATACAGAGGACTGGACACATGTGCCTCGGGTTAGGGATTACTTCTTTTTGAAATTATGTAAAAATGACAGAAAATGCATAAAACAGAGCATAAACCCACAATAATAAAGATATTGAGAGAGAAGAAGATCAGTCTAGGAGGCTCAACATCTGAATAGTAGGAGCTCCGGAAAGAGAACAGACAGGAAGGAATTACCAGAAGACTAATTCAATTTTTTTTCCAGAACTAAAAGATATAAATTTTCAGATTGAATTGTTCAATGGAATGCCCAACTCACTAAGTGAAAAAAGATACACATAAAGAAACATTGTTATGAAATTTCAAAACATTAGGTATAAAGAAAAGAACCTAAAAGCATCCAAAGAGGAAAAAAACAATACAAAACAGGTGACATAAAAGCACTGGGAAGCAAAATGGCAAAGTACTTGTAAACAGTGATACTAAATGAGAATGGAACAATGGCTTAAAAAATCTAGGAGAAAAAGAAAAAAAAATGTGTGGGGGAAATTATTTCCAACCTAGAATTCTAAACCCATCCAAATTATCAATCAAGAATGAAGCTAGAATAAAGATTTCAGATATACAACTCAAAAATATTTACTACCAATGTGTCCTTTCTCAGGAAGATACTAAAGAATGTGCCTTACCAAAACAAGAGAATAAACCAAGAAAGAAGACATCAGATGGTGACAAGGAAGTAGGAGACCCAACAAATGCCAGGAGTGAAGGGAATCCCCGGGAAAGTGATGATAGGACTGCTCGGGAGGACAGCTGTGTATCAGGACAAGGAGGGCACAATAGGAACAGAGCGTTCTAGGAGATGTTTTTAAAACAAAGATGAGATTGATAGACAAAGATATGTTTGACTGCAATTTACACTTAAATTAAAAGTTTAGGAATAAATTAAAGACATATAAAACTAAGCAAATGAAAAAATAATTCAGTGAAAAAAATTTTTGAAATTTTAAAGGATATGTAATTGCAACATTTTACATGACTCAGCTTTGAATAATATTAACATTTTCATAACAACATAAACATTGAGTATTGAGAGAACAAAATTATGACATAATTATATTGGAAGAATGGGTGAAGGGAAGTGGGAGTACGGGCATCAGGGTACAAGAGAGATAAAATCCTCATTTCCGATAGTAAAATAAATAAATATCATTTAAAACAAGGACATAATGAATTAGCAGAACAGTGTTGTTGTTGTCTGAGTATGAAAACAAAACCTAGGGAAAACAGTTAAGAGTTGAAAATAGTTGCCTCTCGGGAGAGGGAATCAGGGTGAGGAAGTAGATGGCTCGGGGGATATAATTCTTCTTAGAACCTGTGACAGAAAGTTGTTGTCCACCATTCTTCCCTTTGTCCTTGACAATAAAATTCCAACTTTACTCAGTACAGCAGTACGCTCGGATGAAAGGTCATGCTTCTCAGTCACCGTCGCAGCTATATATGGCACTGGGACTTCATTCTGGCATGAGATGGAAGCAGAAGTTATTGATTGACATGGCTTCTTGTCCTTCCCCTTTTCTTCTTCCTGCTGCCTGGAATGCCAACAGGAGTAGCTGAAGCTTATTGTGACTAAGGACAGAGAAGCAGGAAAGGTAGAAGGAGGCTATGGTTCCAATATCTAATATCTTCAGGAACTGCCAAACAATCCCTGAGCTGATCAGCACTAAACAGCTTTACCATGAGAGAGTAAGCCTTATATATTTAAGACACTGGTATTTTGGGTTTCTGTTAAATGTAGCTGAAACTAATTCTAATAGATACACCTTGAGGATCTACCTAGCTTATTATTAAACCATCTATGTATAATGTGAATAAAAATTAAGATTGAAAAAGGGAGGGTCAGCAAATACAAAGAGAGGAATTGCCAAATACCTAGTTGGAAAACATCTTTAGGACCCTAAATGTCCACCTGATGAATAATGTTCCCTCCTTCACAGACCTCAATGTTAAAGGCATGTCTGAAATTTTTAAAATGCTGGATTGGACTCATGGTAGATGAGACATTAAAAAAAATACACATAATGTTCCCTCCTTCACAGACCTCAATGTTAAAGGCATGTCTGAAATTTTTAAAATGCTGTATTGGACTCATGGTAGATGAGACATTAAAAAAAATACACACACACACACACACACACATATGAACTTGAAGATGTATTAATAGAACTAACAAAATAAAAATACACAGAAATTTAAAAAATAAAAAGAGCCTCATTAAGCTGTGGGATAACTTTAAGAATCCTAGCATATAATATTGGAGTCCCTAAAAGGTGGGAAGGGAAGACAGCCAGAAAAAATATTTGAAGAAATAACCAAAAATGTCCATATTTGATGAAATGTATAAAGCCACATATTTAAAAGCTAAACAAATCTCAAGTACAAGGCACATCAAATAAAATTGCTCAAAGCAAGTGATAAAGAGGAAATCTTCAAAGCAGCCAGAGAAAAGAGACATGTTATATGCAGAACAAGGATAAGGGTTATAAGAGGTTTCTTGTCAGAAACAGTGGAAGTGAGAAGACACTGGAGCAACATCTATAAAGTAAAGGAAAGAAAAAATGAACAACTGTCAATCTAGAACCCTACACCCAGCCAAAAAAGTAATCTAATAATTAAGTCAAAATAAAAAATATTTTTTTTACATACAAATGCTGCAATAATTTATCAGCAGCAGACCTGCACTACAAGAAATATTAAAGGAAGTCCTTTAGGCCAAAAGAAAATAACAGGTGGAAATGTGCATATACACAAAGGAATAAGGAATGCAGAAAGTGGCACTATATGGGTAAATATACATAAAAAAAAGATTAAGAACAAAGCAGGAAGGTACATTTTCACCATTTCTATTTAACCTTGTCCTAGAGGTTCTATTCAGTGCAATAGGGCAAGGGAAAAAAATGCATCTAGATTTAAAGGGAATAAGTAAAACTTATTTTTTCTGCAGACTACATGATTGTCCATGTAGAAAATCTGATGGAATCTACGAAAAAGCTAATAGAACTAATAAGTGATTGTAGAAAGGTTATAGAATGCAAATTAATATGCAAAAATCAATTACATTTTTATATACTCGTGACAAATGATCAGAAATTAAAATTTTAAAACAATGCCATTCACAATGGCACCAAAAATAGAACACTTGGGAATAAATCTGACAAAATTATTCACCATGTATACTAAAAACTGCAAAACACTGCTGAGAGAAATTAAAGAAGGACTAGATTTAAAAATATAAATTAATTAATTAAGACTCAATATTGTTAAGATTTCAGTTCTAGTCAAATTAATCTCAATTCTATCTCAATTAAAATCCCAGTAACTTTTTTTGTAGAAATTAACAAGCTGATTCTAAAATGTATATGGAAATGCAAAGGACCTAGAATATTCAAAACAGCTTTGAGAAAGAACAAAGTTGGAGAACTAACACTAGCCAATTTCAAGGTTTATTATAAAGCTATAATAATTAACATAGTATTGTATTGGTGTAAAGATAGACATATAAATCAATGGAATTAAATGGTCCAGAAATAGATACACACATACATGCACAACTGATTTTTTTACAATGGTGCAAAAGCAGTTCAGTGGAAATAGGAAAGTCTTTTCTTCAAATGTTGCTGGAACAATTGAATATCTTTTTTAAGAAAACAAATTTGATCTATAGCTCACACCATATATTGGGGCCGGCTCAGTGGCACACTGCTACAGTGCGCCGCTTGGGAGCGCGGCGGCACTCCCGCCGAGGGTTCGGATCCCACATACAGACCGGTTCCTGCTCACTGGCTGAGTGAGGTGTGGGCGCAATGCCGAGGGTTGCGATCCCGTTGCCGGTCCCGGTCCGGTACGGGCGCAACACTGAGGGTTGCGATCCGTTGCCGGTCACGAAAAAAGACAAAAAGGAAAAAAAAAATTAATATGTATCACAGACCAAAATGTAAAACCTAAAATGTCTAGAGGAAAACATATGAAAAAATCTTTGTTACCAGTTCCCAGATTCATAGTTTTGGAGTTCCTCTTCTATAATGCCCAAACCCCTTTGCACATGCAGGGTGACATCTGGCTTTCATCACATCACCCTGAAATAGGAGAATAGGACATAGGGAACCTATGTGAATATGATAACATTTTCTCTAATCCAGAAACCTCCCTTTTGTTCTCAGGACTAAAAAAATAACCAAATATACCAAAAATGTTTTAATCATACTATACACTACCGCCCTCCACCCTGGGGAACTTCATTAGTCTCATGGTCTTATCAACCACTTATCTTCTGATGACTCCCAAATTTATATTCACAGTACAGACTTCTCGGTTTTCAGACTGGTCTTTTCCACTAGCCCTGCATTACACATCCACTTAGACATCTCACTGACATCTCAAATTCAGTGTGTCTAAAGCTGCACTTTGTATCCTCTCCCACACACCTGCTTATTTTTCTATGAAGGCATCACCCCCACTTATTCACCCATGCTAGAAACCTGGTGATCACCAAACACATGTGACAGTACAGGCAAGGCAAGAATCAGATATAATCTCAGTGTTTGTAGTCAGAACGACTGAGAGAGTGATTTGTCATTAATAGAAAAAAAGTCCAGGGAAACAACATTACATTCAGGAAGGAAGATGCTGAGATGGCGGCTGTGTTCATTTCAAGGTGCTGGCAGTGCTTCCAGGTGGAGATTTCTAGCAGTCAGTTGGAAATGCCACTGTACATGACAGATTGCTGATCTTGGTTACGGAAATGAAAGCTCAAGAGCTTTTCTGAAAAGTTTAAACTGTGGTTTGACAGGAATCATACTGTTTCTAAGGATGAAAACACTCAGAGGCATTCAGCTGTGGAGGACAGACCATACGGAAGAGAAGGAAAGGAATATTGAGGATAAAGAGGAGTGAGCATTTGGAGCATGTTTTTCTGGCCAGTTAAGGGACAGGCAGCACAAGTGACATTTTTGTAAAAGGTCCTCTACTAGAGGGTTCCTGAATATATAACTCTTTCCTCCTTCATTGTCTGACAAAATCTCTTCCCTCTGTTTTCGGTTCCTCCTCTTGCCCCTATTTTTTTCCTCTCCTGGGGTGCCTGCATGGGTGAAGGCAATATGGAGGGCAAGAGCCTGGCTGAAGGCTTTCACTCCACTGCATGAGGAAGGCAGACAGCAAGGAAAAGGCTGGCAGGAAAAGCCTCAAGGCTCTGGCTGCCCTTTTTGATTTGTGCATTAATGCTGCGGAGTTGACAGCCTGCCTGAGAGAGGTTGGAGGGATGTGTGTTCTGCATGTCTGGAATTTATTCCTTTGGCTCTGTAAGATGTGACACTGCATAATGGCCACGAAGAAGTAATTTTGATCCTGTGAGTATCTTGGCAAAAGTTCCAGAAAGACATATGGACATAATCTTCTGGACATTTGTGGAAGAGCCTTCGCTTAGGGACTGCCTTTGCAGGCTTGCTCTCACTTTCAGTTCTATGAGTCTCACTTTAGCCAGTTTTTACTTAGGAGATAAAAAAGCTAAATTGTATTCAATTGAAAGAACAAAAAATATTAACGTAAGAGCAAGTCATCATTATGATACCTATCAATTTCCACCTCTAAGACAGGGCACAGACGCAGGGCTCTGGACATACCCTAGCCAGGATTAGAGAAAAAGAGGTCTGGATGGCTCTAGATATATGTACTGTGAAAAAATGAGTTCTCACCATGCTGGGATCCAGCATCTTCATCTATAAATTGACAGAGAGATGACATTTAAAAAAAAATCTTCCTAGGAACAATAACTTGCTTAAATATTATGTTGGAACAAGCTGCTCTATCTGTATCTATGACCCTAAATTTCAGGTATATTTGAGGATATATTCATTTCTCATTGGAACAGATTTCAATCTATACGCATTTCTATTTTAAAACAGTTGAGATAACACAATAAATCCATTATGTTGGAACAAGCTGCTCTATCTGTATCTATGACCCTAAATTTCAGGTATATTTGAGGATTTATTCATTTCTCATTGGAACAGATTTCAATCTATACGCATTTCTATTTTAAAACAGTTGAGATAACACAATAAATCCAGCTAAGTTTCCCCTAAGTTTCTGTGTACGAGTTGGTAAGTAATCACTTGTTAAATTTAAACTTCATCTAAGGCCCTTATCCTTGTTTTTTTCCCTGTGGAGTCTAATAAGGTAATATAAAAAAAAAAACTCAGAAAATACCGAAGCCCAGATCCTAGTCCGTGGGAATTTATTGTACCCCACCCCTAAAGTTGTCCTTTAAAACTAACTCCCTGAAGAATGCCAATCACGAGGTCTGCCAGGAGCTAATCTTTATACATTCACCAGGATTTTATGAATACTCTGAGAAATTCTTGGGAGTTGTACTATTGGGAAAAAGAGAAACTGAAACTGTGGAGACAGAAGTTCCCTGGAGTATAAGGTCTTCTTTGCTTAGACCTCAAGTGGTTTTAGCCTAAGGAAGCACTCAGAATTGCCTTGCAACTGGAATGTTAAAATGTTGCCTTGGCTGATGGTCAGCCTTAAAGGGACGTTTGTGTGTGTGTGTTTTGTCTCGGTGATCAACACGCTATCAAGGTCTAAGCAAATGACTGTTCTATGAACATCAGCTGAGAGAAATGAGTAATGAAGCACTCTTCATCCCTGCACTCGCATGGTTATAGATGAAGTCAGTCTTATAGAATCTGGTTAAAGACTCATAATTACAGAGTTGGAAAATGCTCAAGAGATCATCTGTTCCAGCCTCCAGGGCCTCAAACTTAGTGGACAGTAAGTTGCAGGTCAGCAGGAAGACTAGTAAGCTACCAGAACATTAAATGATATTTGTGGCATGTGCAAAATCCCCCTGCATGTCTGAATCCTGAGATAGGATGGAAGGATGTGTTTGGCTCATCTTTGGTTTTCTTCATATGGTTGGAAACAAAATTGTTGATACTTCCTCAGTTTTACACAACTGGAAAGGACTCTTTTTGGTCTCACTGGAGTCAGATAATCCCTTCCCTGGACCCAAAAATTCATGGCTGGTGGGGGGATGGGGGAAGAGCACAGCTGGGAATGCAACCTGTGAAGCCACGCAGGGACCTGTGCTTAGAAGGGTCCCATGTTTGGCTTTATGCTCTGCTGCTGCCATCTAGAAATTCCTAATAAATTTTTAACAAGGGATCCTGCATTTTAATTTTGCATTGGACCCACAAATTATGCAGCCAGCCCTGGCACGGAGTACTAGCTCAGCTTGGCAATCCCTAACATAACCATGTGGATGGAGGAAGAGGGGAAGATGGGGAACTAGTTCCCAGGAGCAGTGGGTAGATGGTGGCCAGTACAGCTAGCATAGTTCTGAGAAGTAAAAGGACATCAAAATATGAGAGATACAGTTCTCAACCTCAAAAAATCTCATAGTCTAGTAGGTCAAATTTTCTTTCCAAAGGTTTGTTTCTCCAATCCCCACATATCCAAATGAATATATTCATCTTGAATATGAATGGAAACATCCCACTCCCATAGGAAAGTGGTAAATAGGAAAAGAAAATATAGGGAGAATGTCCAGCTTTGCTTTCAACATCATGAAGATTAGTTTTATACAACGTTAAGCTCATCTATGATTAGAGATTGAATCAAAAGTCTCTTGTACAACAACAGTGACACCATTCTGGCACTAGGATTTACTATCACAAACTTTCTACCAAAGTCCATAAAGAATATGACAAAGTAAGCCCTGGAACAGTGTCTATAGCCTAGTAAGGACTCAATGAATAGAGTATAAAAAGGAGAAGGGAGCCGAGCAAAAAAGAAAAGGCAGAATGGAAGGTAAGGAGGGAGGGAAGTTCAGTATTTTAAGATACATTCAGGTTGTTCAGGAAGATAGTTGGTGGAAACTATAAAATAAAGGGTAAACCACATTCAGAGCAATAAATTTTATGAAATGTTAATTGGGTTTACTCTCAGAACTCCCCTTTTTATTATTATGTTTAGTACCAAACACTAAAAAATTAATCAGGAAATTCCATCTGGCCAACAATTTTAATTTATGAAATTCCTTTTGCTTCAGAAGATTAAAAGCAATCCTCTGGGCGAATTGAGCATTCCAAGATAGCCCCAAAAAGCCCTGAACAAAGACTCTAGAGTGTCATTTTCTTTTATATTGTAACATCTTTGAGTCACTTGCAATCTATAAATAAACTTGCATTTTACAGAAATCTCTCTACAAAACGCAGCACCATGCTGGAATTCAACACACAAGACTATTTTTAAAAGTGTTTTGATTAAAAAAAAAAATTAATTATAGGCCCTAGATAACACAGGAGTTATAACTTGGCTTACTGCAAGTTTTATGTTGCTTAACAACTCTTTAAAACAATTCTCCTACATCTGTGCTTTATTTTAAGTGCAAATTAAGTGCAAGTGCAATCTTCAATGTTAATTGAAGATTTTGTTGATTATGGCTGCCCTGTTCTACAGTGGGGAAAACGGAATCAGTAATATTCTGAAATCAGTAATCAATGCTGTTTATCCTTAAAATTATATATTTGTTGCTCCTGTTTTTAGATCTCTTGGTTTTCTCTAGGTGTAATATAAGAAGTTATCTGACACCAAAATACATCTTTGAAACAAAAGCCCTCCCCTTTAAAAAGTATATAAACAAGAAAAATAAGAGAAATTTGGGGACGATGTTTCTCTTCCCAGAAAGGCCATGTGCGACTGTAAATCTATGGAACAGTAACATTATGAATAATGAAAACTTTGGGCCTAGATATATTTGTCTAACCGAACTTGTTAGTTGATGTTATATCAAGGGATAACAAGAGTTCTTGATGTAGATCAGACTTTTGTGAAACCACATGCTTAGGAAGCATTATGGACTTTATCTTACATAAAAAGACATAGATAGTATGATATAGAAGTTGTGGTATTTGGAAATTGTAGGGTTCAGAAAGTAAACTTTAACTGCTCTTTCAAGGGTATGTGGATTAAAAGTACAAGAAGACAGGAAGTGATTTAAGGAAGAAATTTATTTCTGCCTCTGTCTTAGTTGACAAGGATTAAGTGCCTAGGTCCTATCAGGCTTTTGTTATAGAAAAAAAAAAAAAGAAACAAAAATCTTCGGGTGGTTTTCTTCTAAGAATTCCTTTGGAGAGGAATAGACATTAGTTTTAGTAACCAGAGATAGAACAAGACTTTAAAACATGGCTCTGTTACAACAGAAACTAATTGATTTTCAGTAATTTGGCCCATCTTGCCACATTATATTTCAGACAGAGTGAAAATTACCACTTCCAAGCTTGTTGTTTCTTGACAATTGCAAATAAATAACAGCATTTTTTGAAAGTAGAAAAAGTAAACACAACATTTGATTCAGTGGTGCCATAGAAATCCAACTAAAAACACATACTCAGTTGTATTTTTCAGCTCTATGGACAACTTCTATTAAGTCACACAGTGAGACTCATAGTTCATTTGATCCATTGCACAACAGAACCAATGCGAAGGGATATTATCACTTTGAAATAAGTAACACCTTGTATCTCTGTTGGGTAAAGAGAACACAGGGCATAAGGATAAGCTAGTAGAAGTTTCCAGAAAAATATAATAAATAATGTAGGCAAATAGCAAAATATTCTTGGTCTTC